TGGGTAGCTACTAGGGACCTTCAACAAACGCCCAACGTGGGGAACACTCAGGAGTGAACAGACTGTAAGGCAAATGTGCCCATGTGTGTGCCAGAAAGGGATGCTCTATCACACGCCCGGAGAAGTGGTCACTTTTTTCCCCAAGCCCAAACAAAACTAACCGCTAAACTGACGAAAAGTTTAACCCTGGCATTCAGTTATTCAGTCTCATCTCAAGTCACTAAATTTGAGATTATCAATTAGTGTCTATTTTTGTGACTTGAAACGATTTGGGTGTTCAGAAGGAGAGAGTCACAAAAAGTTCACTAAAAATGTTTGGTGAAGGCAAACACAGACAATCAACTGATAGTGTTTATGTATACCTTTTTCCCGCGCCGCTCAAAGAGTCGCAATAGCCGAGTGGTCAAAGCATTAGGCTGGCAGCCGAGAGGGCCCGGGTTCAAGTTCTCCTCGGCCGCAGAGAACTTTTTATTGTTTTTTATTTAGTATTTTTTTTATTAGTTTTATATTTTACAATCTTTAGATTTTAATGTTTAAAAAACAAAAAAATATTTTTTTTCAATACATTTGTATGATGAAAGCATTTTGGTTTATTTGCTAATGAAATTCTTGTTGAACAAATTTCCTAGCTTTCATTTAAAATGGAAAGAAATAAGTTTTTCCTCTATACTTCTATTTTTGTGACCGGCTCTTAGCCAGCTGACAAATTAGTGACTGAATTTTGAGACTAGAGACAGAGCCAAATAGTCTCAAAATCCAAGTTCACCACCAAAAGTCACTATTAGTGACTAGACCGCTTACTGAATGCCAGGGTTAGGGCCGGTTACTCAATGTCTCGTTAACACTAATCTCCGGTTAAACATAGTTATCGACGTTACCGACGCCCTGTTGTATGCATGGAGTCGAAGACGTCGATAAAGATGTTTAACCGAAGATCAGTGTTAACCAGACATTGAGTAACCGGCCCTTAGTCAGTTTTCCCACTAATTTAACCAAAGAACGTAAGGGCCGGTTACTCAATGTCTGGTTAACACTAATCTGCGGTTAAACATCGTTATCGACGTCTTCGACGCCATGCATATAACAGGGAGTCGGTAACGTCGATAGCGATGTTTAACCGCAGATTAGTGTTAACCAGACATTGAGTAACCGGCCCTAAATCACAGAACGTAAATCTATAAGAAGAGGCAAGTGCTTTCTTGCTTGGTATTCTTTGACATATAAGATCGATGTAGGCATATGCATGAGTATGCTCACATAAAAAACGTTTGAAGCAAAGCAAAGCAAAACGAAGCAAAATCTTCGCCAACTCTCAACTTTTGCCCGCTTTGGCAATCAGCTGTCTACATTTATCATTTCTCGTGCGCTTGCATTTGCATTTAATGACAAAAATAGGGTAAATAGGAATTTTTATTGCTATTATTAATGCATATTATTATTGTACGATAAAAGCAACTGAAAACCGATTATGTTTGTACACACCGACCAGCGGGAATATAATGGCACTTATTTATTTGCAAATTCGTCTTTTATAGAAGGCTACAAACGGTACAATAGCGTGACTTGTTAACGTAATACCATGTCCCCACCGGAACTAACCACGTAGTTATGGCTAATGAGTTGGTTATCCCGATAACCCACCTGATTTAGCGTAGTTTCGCCATATTAAAATGACAGCACTAAACAATTTCACTGAGATGGTTAAAAGCTAACCAAGTCGAAACCACGTCGAAACCACGTCGAAAGTTTGATACAACCCTGTGTTTTCCCGCCATCTGTGGGTCATTAGCGTTAAAATGTAAAAAATTCGTTCCCTACTAGTGTTTGGACTCTAATAAGATCAGATTAGATTTACTCCTTTTTTGAAAAAATTTGAAATCTAGTCCTCTACTCCGCTTGAATTCAAATCTACTCCATTTTTTTCAGTCATGTTATGCCCCTTTTGGGACCGTTTTTGAGTGTTCACCACCAGTTTCAGTGAAAGTTAGCCAAATCTCGCTGTTAAAAAGTAACTCGTTCATAGCAATGTGTCAATAAAGTAACTTCGGTAATTTTTGATGTATGGCTGTAGAAATTGGCGGATGCAGAGCTTTACTTAAGTTGTTAAAAAATATATTAGAATGAAATTTATATAAAGTTGAGAAGGTTTAGATCCTATTGCTCTTTAAAAAATGAAGTGTTAGATACGTTCTACTTTATAGAAAATGCCAAAAATTACCTAAATATGTAACATATTATCCTTACATGGACTCGCGTTTTAATTTTTGCATGAATAGAAAATATTTAAGTCAAACAATTAATGTCAGAAACGAAAATAAAAAATTCAATCTAGAACGGAAAATTTGTTTTTGCTCCGACTTTTGCAGCGATTTAGTCCTGAATCGAGTTTTGGACGTCCGACCACTGTTCTTTACATTTGTACTGTTTTATAAACCTCAAACCGCAGTGTGGACAGCAAT